AGCAGTAGCAGTAGCAGTAGCAGTAGCAGTAGCAGTAGGAGCAGCAGCAGCAGCAGCAGCAGCAGCAGGAGTGGCAGTAGTAGTAGTAGTAGTAGTAGTAGTAGGAGTAGGAGTAGGAGTAGGAGTCGTAGTAGGAGTAGTAGTAGTAGTAGCAGTAGTAGTAGTAGTAGTAATAATAATAGTAGCAGTAGTAGTAGTAGTAGTAGTAGTAGTAGTCGGAGTAGTTGTGGTAGTAGTACCAGTAGTAGCAGTAAGTAGGCGTAGGAGTAGGAGTAGGAGTAGGAGTAGGAGTAGGAGTAGGAGTAGGAGTAGGAGTAGGAGTAGGAGTAGGAGTAGGAGTAGGAGGAGGAGTAGTACTAGTAGTAGTAATCGTCGTCGTCGTCGTGGTGGTGGTAGTAGTAGTAGTAGTAGCAGTAGGCGCCCCATCCCCTGCCAACGACACTTGCTCTAAACCATCTTGAGAGCACATCCATTTTACTTGTTATTTGCGGTACTTTCGCAATGTCCTACCACTTCTTGTTGTCTCAAAATCCACTTGTCGACTTTGCAAACTCGAGCTCGGAGTTTTGAAGGGTTCGGGGTGGTAGGAGGGCGGGGGGTGGCGGTAATGACGACTCGCTTGCGCGGACGTGTATTTCACTCGAAGTTTACACTTCTTTCGTAATGTCCTACCACTGCTTGTTGCCTCAAATTATCCATTCGTCGACTTTCCAAGCTTTAATGCTTGTGATAATGAACATGATGGTTTCAGACGCCAGATCGTTGGTAGAGGGCAGGGCGTGGCTAGTAGTAGTAGTGGTGGTGGTGGTGGTGGTGGTGGTAGTGCAACAGTAGTGCCACAAAACAAATAGCACGATTAATTGTGACCATACATTGAATAGTAGAGTATTAAGCGGCAATACGAAACATGAGCACACATTTTACTTGTTTTGCTGGGTAGTCGTGTCATTGGGAAGAGGTTGGAAAAACCAGTTTGCTGCGGCGGGGATGGTGGAAAGTCGCGCCGAGGTCCTCACGTTCCTCGGTGGGTTGCTTATGGTCTTCGTCGTTTCAGCAGTGCGAAGCTTATGCTGGCTCTTTGTTTCACGGACAGTACTGCAGCGTGACAGACTGTGCAGTCATTTGCACTTAGGTTGTTTTTGCTCCCTCGGTTCTCTCTGGCGTGAGTTACTTGAACATCACCGATCCCTCCACGGCCACTTGCCTATGGCACGAGCTGGAAGATGGAAAGACTCGCGCTGCTTCAAGAGAGCATGAAGCAGAGATTCACTGTAAGCCAATGCTAATGTGATGATGGGCCAAGCTGAGGCACAAGTGTCACTGAAGTGGCTGGAGCAGGTTTCCATGGCTGGAATGACAGCCGTGCTGAACCGGCTGCTGGTGCACTGGACTTGTGTTACCACCGTGCCCGTGAACCATAGACCCGCGGAGCAGTGACGGTTTCGAGCAGGCGATTGGCATGAGATCAGCTGCTGAAGCGGGCGGCTTTGTACAGAAGGCGGGCGCTGAGCGTGGAAGCCATGGGTCACAGACCCACCCGAGATTGCAGAGCCACCCCTGCCAGGTCAGTGAGGACAGCGTCTTCTTGGTATGTACATACTTGTTGGTCCTCGCCAACTCAGCCTTCCCGCCAAAGTTGCTACCCCAAGACACCCTTGCTTCTTGTTCATGTGGCAGAAGTTCAGAGACCCTGTAGCACTGTAGGTTTGGCTCAGTGCCCGCAATGACATACCAGCGCCAGGTTATACCTCTGGGTATTGCCCAAATTGTGGTCGGCCCGCCGCTTTTCAGACCCATGGTTGTGGACAAGTCAGACGGCTCAAACTTGCATACAGCTTGTTGCTGCGTGATACGACATGCTCAATTCCAGGGTCTTCGGAAATAGTGAAAGTTGCATCTTGCAGCCCTTGCGCCTCCTCTCTGCGGCTCTCTGCCGACATCACACTCTATCAAAGCTTGAACATGTCAGGCATCCTGGTCGGACTTGCGCGTCACCCCATACTCAGCAACAGAGACTCGGCTCTCGACGTCCATGCCGCCGTTGTGCAGGCGAAAACAGTCGGAAAAGACTACCCCGAACCCTACCCTTAAACCCGAAACCCTACACCCCCAAACCCGAAGTAAGCCCGAAACCCGGAACCCTGGGCCGTGACACTGAGCCTAGGAGTGGCTATTCACATTGATGGCCGTGATCCTTCTCACGACGGAGGTGCCTTCGGGGGTCTTTTGGTACAAGGCAGTCGTAGGGTTTAGGGTTTCGGGCTCAAAGCAAACAGATCCTAGAAACCCCCGAAACCCTGTGCTTGTAGTACACCTTCTTCGGAATAGTAACCCGTATAGATTTCATACGTCAAGCATCTTCCCGCCGGCTAGCGCTACTTTGCCCGCTTGCTTTGCTCGGTCAGATTTGTCTGCCTTTCACGATTGCTTTCGATGTCAGTGCATCGGAGGTATAAGAAGTCTGAGCAGAGCTGATTAGAGCGTAGACGATCGTGAATGTGTACAGAAACGGGTTGCAGAAAAGTTCCGTGAAAGGTCTAGTTGTAATCACACTAAACTAAACCTGAACCTTGAAGTCTAACCTCTAGGCCCTCACCCTCAAAGCCGACGGATTGCCCAGTTTCTCTACATCGTCTTTCCTGCCTGGTCCTACTGGACTGCGCACTTCCGTGTGCGGCAGAGCAGGTGCCACTCCAAGATCCGCCCGACCAAGATATTATAGTTGCTTTTTTGGGTACCAGTTTGCTTATGTCCGGGCGGCCCTGTGCGCTCTCTGTGGGTTCTCTCGATCTCAAGCTAGCCTGGTTTTCGTTTTTCGGGCTTATATGGCTTAGGTATTCAGGTTCGGGTCTGAGGTATAAGGGTTTCGGGGTTTGGATATGGGAGGTTTCGGGCTTTGGGTGTTTAGGGCTCGGGGTTTCAGGTGTTGCAGTTTAAGGTTGTTGGCACAGGCTTGAGGGTTTTATATGCCACGGCTTTCGGGATTTGGGTCGGAGTTAGGCTTAAGGTTTCTGGCTTGTCTTAGGTATCAGGATCCAGGGCTTTGGGTCTTTAGACATCAGACTTCTGAGTGAGGGCGTTAGGTATTGGCTTCAGGGTTTGATGTATTCGGTTGACGGGTTTAGATACAACGGGCTTGAGTTTTGTTAGACTTACATGTAGCCTCTAGAGTGCTAAGGCTTGGGTTTAGGGCTCCAGGTTTATTAGGGTTGGGGGCTAACAACAGTAGCATCTACATCATCAACAATGATAGTGAAGGGCAGAGGAAAGCGGCTCAAGACAAGAGCAAAAACAACAAGACTAACAATGGCAATGAGAAGGGAAATCGCAAGGGCAGCGGCCGCAGCGGTGGAGGTGAGTGCAGCAGCAGCAGCAGCAGCGGAGCAAACACCACGAGCAGAGAGCAACAAAAACAACGATAGTCGGAGCAGCAGCGAAGATCAACAACAGACAAGCAAGAAAGGCGACCAAAACCAGCAATGACGAGGCTGGCCACCGGCTAGCGCGCCCACATCATGAGAACCGTCAGGATCACACCGTCAACCACTAGCAGCAGGAAGCGCAACTTTAGGAATGCAAAGAGCATCACGTACTAGAACACTGGAAGCACCGCCAACAAAGGCGTCGCTGATACCATAGCAACAGCAAAAGACATACTCGTAATCAGTCATGCTTAAGATGATGATTTACAGGAACAACACAAATAAACTAGGACAACAGGCATCAGCATCCAGAACAGCAGTGAACCAGCAACGATATCAGCAACTGCAGCCGCACGACCAAGAGCAGTCGTATAGTGGTTGTAGCGGTCATCACAGTGGAAGAAAGACTAGTGGTGTAGTAGTCGTCGTGGTGGTGGTACCAGCAGTAGCAGTAGTAGAAGTAGTATTAGTAGCAGTGGCAGTAGTGGCTGTAGCAGTAGTAGTACCGGTAGAAGCAGCAGTAGGATTAGTAGCAGTAGGAGTAGGAGGAGGAGGAAGAGGAGGAGTTGGCAAGAGCGCTTAAATTTACAGTTGGTCAGATCGAGCAACATTCAACGACGTGTTTAGTTGCACACTTCGAGGTACATCACAGTTCGGGAAGGTCAGCCAGTGGTGAGCTTGGTGAAGAACATCTGTGGTGTCGCAGATCTGTATCCAGTCCGAAAATTCGAGCAAGTTGTTACCAAGGTCTTGACAAGTGCTGAGTTCCCAATGGCCCAGAGGCGGGCGATTCCAGCCACCTTGCCCGTACACGTGCGTGCAGGAGGTTTAGCAGCAACCCTTCCGCAGCGCGAGCGGTGGTGGAGAGTAAGCAACTCTGAAAACCGATACTGTAATCATGTACGTTACTATACCGAGTTGTGCGAATGTGCAGTCTGTATGTGTACTACTGGGATAAATGAAGTTTCTCAACTTGGCATGCTCTGGCAATGATTGCAGGTATGTCGACATTTTGCTGATGATGACATTGGTGTTTGTCATGATAACCATTGACTACAAGTCCATGTACACGATTGGCCGCATCCTTAGCGCCGACGGAGGGCCTTCATGTCTGCCAGCCTCAGCGCAGGGATGTGCTTTCGCACCTTCTGCATAGAGAGCGCATCTGTGTGTGTGTGTGTGCGCGCAACCCTTGTTTCTACCCCTAGGCAGAGTAATCGTAATCGTCATACTAATAACAGTAGTAACAGTAGCAGCTGCAGCAGTAGTAGCAGTGGTGGTAGTAGTCGTAGTAGTAGGAGGAGTAGGAGCAGGAGTAGGAGTAGGAGTAAGAGTAGGAGTAGTAGAGTAGTAGTAGTAGTAGTAGTAGTAGTAGTTGTTGTTGTTGTTGTTACTACTGCTACTACTGACAAAACTACTACTACTACTACTACTACTACTACTGACAAAACTACTACTACTACTAC